TGTGAGGGACAAAAGTTGGAATGCTAGCTGCATCTTTAGCAACCTTATCAGCATAAGTGTTGCCTAGAGCAATGGGATCTGATGCCTTTTTGATGGCCCTTGCAGTGAATGACTCCAGCTTCCTTTGGAAGTAAAGCAGCCTCGAGAAGAGTTTTTATTAAAAGGCATTAATGATGGAGGACCCTTGTGTAGTGAGGAAACCTCTTTCAACATATATAACAACATGGTGGTGCAGGATATGGAAGGCATATTTAGAGTCAGTATAAATATTGATGCATAGTCCCTTTGCAAGAGTGAGGGCCCAAGTTAAGGCAATGAGTTCAGCTTGCTGAGAGTTAGTGGTGCGGGGCAGAGCGGTAGCCTCAATGATAGATGTGGAAGATACTATAGCATAGCCTGCCTTTGCTGGCGAGTGGCGATGATGCCTGGTGGAGCTGCGTCAATAAGTCCAAATGTGATCAGGGTGAGGAACAAGAAAGAAGGAAATATGGAGAAATGGGGTGAATGTCAGGTGTAATCAGACAGATACAGTCATGGGGGTCAGGCATGGTATCCAGAATAATGTGGGAGGCCGGATTGAAGTCCGGGCCAGGAACAATGGTAATTGTGGAGACTCAACAAAGAGTGAGTATAGCTGAAGGAGCCAGTGAGCAGAAAGTACATGTGTCAGGTGTGAGGAAGAAAATAGATTTTGGAAGTTATGAGAGCTGTAGAGAGTGAGTTGAGCATAGTTTGTGATTTTTGAGGGCCTCTAAAATATTAGGGCGGTGGCAGCCACTGCATGGAGACATATAGCCAACCTAAAACAGGAAGGTCAAATTGTTTGGACAAAAAGGCTTCAGGGCGCGGTCCCGGTCGTTGTGTAAGAATTCTGGCTGCACAGTCCTGCACTTTGGCTGTGTGTAATGAAAAGGGTTGGGATGAGTTAGGGAGAGTAGTGTGGGAGCAGTCTCTAAGCTGTCTTCAAGGAATGGAAAAAGGAGTGGGGAAAGGATTTAGGATCTATGGGGTCAGCTAGGTTTCCTTTTGTGAGTTTATATAATGGTTTTGTTAGGATGGCAAAACCAGGTATTGAAAGGCAAAAGTATCCAACCATGCCTAAGAAGGAAAGGAGTCATTGTTTTGTAGGGATTGTGGTTTGAGAGATCAGTCAGTCATGATCGGCAGTGAGAACACATGTGTTTTTATGAAGAATTACGCCAACGTAGGTAACAGATGGAGAAGAAATTTGAGCTTGGGGGGGGGGATACCTGATATCCTTTGGAGAATAAATGTTGAAGGAGCAGGAGGGTGTCTCACTGGGAAGATTCAAAGGAGGGGCTACAAAGTAGAAGGTCATCAATATATTGAATAAGGTGGAAGCAGAGGGGTGGAAAGAAGTAATCATGAGAAAGAGCTTGGCTGAAGTATGAGGGCTGTCCTCAAGCCTTGCGACAGCACAGCCCAGGTAAGCTGCTGGAACTGATGAGTGTCAGGGTCAGTCCAGGTAAAAGCAAAGAGAGGCTGGGATGAGGGTGCAGGGGAATAGTGAAAAAAGCATCTTTAAGATCAAGAGTGGAATAGTGAGTTGTGGAGGAAGGTATTGAGGACAAAAGAGTATATGGGTTTGTCACCACAGGTAGATAAGTAAATAATTTGGTTGATAAGGTGCAGATCCTGAACTAACTTGTAAGACTTGTCCACTTTTTGGACAGGTAAAATGGGGAAATCGTAAGGAGACTTTTTAGGCTTTAAAAGGCCATGCTGTAACAGGCCAGTGATAACAGGCTTTACTCCTTTTAAAGCATGCTGTGGGATGGGATATTGGTGTTGAGCAGGGTAAGGGTGATTAGGTTTTAATGGATGATAAGGGGTGCATAATTGATCACCAAGGAGGGAGTAGAGGTGTTCCATACCTGTGGGTTAAGGTGAGGAGATACAAGCAGAGGATGCGAAGGGAGGCTTTGAACTGGGGAAAAGGCAGCAAAGAGGTGTGGCTGTAGCCCAGGAATAGTCAGGGAAGCAGATAATTTAGTTTAGATGTCTCTACCTAATAAGGGAGCTGGGCAGGTGGGGATAACTAAAAAGGAGTGCTTAAAGAGTATTGTCTAAGTTGGCACCAGAGTTGGGGAGTTTTAAGAGATTTAGAAGCCTGGCCGTCAATACCCACAACAGTTACACGGGCAAAGGAAACAGGCCCTTGAAAAGAAGGTAATGTGGAGTGGGTAGCCTCTGTATTGATTAAGAAGGGGACAAACTTACCCTCCACTGTGAGAGTTACCCAAAGCTCGGCATCCATGATGGTCTAGGGGGCTTCCGAGGTGATTGGGCAGCGTCAATCTTCAGCTGCTGAGCCAAGAAGATCTGGGAAGGAGTCAGCCAGAGAGTCTTGGGCCAGAGTTCCAGGGGCTCTGGGAGTGGCTGCCAGGTGAGTTGAACAGTCCAATTTCCAGTGGGGTCCCACACAGATGGGGCACAGCTTAGGAGGAATCCCGGGCTGCTGGCATTCCTTGGCCCGGTAGCCAGATTTCTGGCACTTGTAGCAAGCTCCTAGGGGAGGAGGTTTGGAGGAACCTCTGGCAGCTGCGGTTAAGGCATTTGGAGTTCTCGTGTGCTGCAGATGTGGCTGGGGTTTGTCTCACAGTGGAGGTAAGGAATTGCAAACTCAGAAATACATTGCTACTTGGCTGCCTTTACTCTACTATTGTACACCTTGAAGGCGAGCTTAATTAAGTCCTATTGTGGGGTTCCAGGGCCAGAATTTAATTTTTGGAGCTTTATTTAATGTTGGTAGAGGACTGGGTAATAAAATACATATTGAGAATAAGACGGCCTTCTGGCCCCTGTAGGCCTAGGGCAGTAAAGTGTCTAAGGGTTGTTGCCAAACAGGCCATGGATTGGGCTGGGTTTTTATATTTGATGAAAAAGAGTCTAAATGCTAACTGATTTGGGAGAGGTCAGATAAAGAAAAAGGAGCATTAACCTTCACTATGCCTTTAACTCCAGTCACCTTTTTAAGAGGAAATTGCTGGGCAGGTGGGAGAGGGCTAGTGGCAGAACGAAACCGTAAGCCGGAGCAGGTGTGAGGAGGGGAGGTGATAAAAGGATTATAGGGTGGAGAAGTGGAGGCTGAGGAAGAATTGGGACCTGGCTCCGCCTGGCGAGGAGCAGCCTGGGGAGGAGGGGAGAGGTCAGATGGGTCTGTAGAAAAGGAATGTTGGAAAGACGCAGCAACACTTGGGGTTGGGACTGAGGGGACAGGCAGGAGGGAAAGGAGCAAGATTTGGGATGAGTTGCGTTGGGAACAGAGACTAGGGAGGGACCGATATGTAAAAGAATGCCTGGACGTCAGGCACCACAGACTGTTTGCCCAGTTTACGACAAGAATTATCTAGATCTTGTAGGATGGAAAAATTGAAAGTGCCATTTTCTGGCTGCTTGGAACCACTGTCGAGTTTGTACTGGGGTCAAGCGGTATTGCAGAAGAAAATAAGATGCTTAGATTTTAGATGAGGCAAGAGTTGAAGAGGTTTTAAGTTCTTGAGAACACAGGCTAAGGGAGAAGAAGGAGGAATGGAGGGTGGAGGGTTTCCTATAGTGAAAGAGGCAAGTTTAAAGAGAAGGGTAGAAACACGGAGAAGGGGGTGGGGAACAGCACTGGGCTGCTATGTGGGTGAGCAACCAAAGCAGGTGTCCCCGCAATTGACTTGCCACCAAGGGAGTGTGGGTGAATGACCAAGGCAGGCATCCCTGCAGTGATTGGACATCAATGGAATGTGGGTGAATAATCAAGCAGGCATCCCCATAGTGATTAAACCCCAAGGGAAGACTGTCTTCCCGAGTCCGTGACCAGCACCAGAGTTTTGGGTCCATGCATAAAATGTGTCTCCTTTGTCTCTACCAGAAAAGGAAAGGAACTGAAATTAAGAGAAGGGAGAGATTGAAGTGTGGCGCCAAGATTGAAAGGAGAAAGAGGTTGAGGGATAGTGAGAGATGTTGGAGAAGAGGGTAAAGAAAGGCTGCTTACCCCATTTAAAATTGGTGAGATGTTCCTTGGGCTGGTTAGTCTGAGGACCAGAGGCCGCAGGTGGACCTTTTTCATAGAGCAAAGAGCAGGAGGACAGGGGATTGATCTCCCAAGGGAGGTCCCCCAATCTGGGTCACAGCACCAAATTTCACATGCGTCCTTGTGAAGAGACCACCAAACAGGCTTTGTGTGAGCCACAAGGCTGTTTATTTCACCCGGGTGCAGGCGGGCTGAGTCCGAAAAGAGAGTCAGCGAAGGGATATAGGGATGGGGCCGTTTTATAGGATTTGGGTAGGTAGTGGAAAAATTACAGTCAAAGTCGTTCTCTGGTGGTTAGGGGCAGGGGACACAAGGTGCTCAGTCAGGGAGCTTTTGAGCCAGGATGAGCAAGGATAAGGAATTTCACAAGGTAATGTCATCAGTTAAGGCAGGAACAGACCATTTTCACTTCTTTTGTGATTCTTCACTTGCTTCAGACCATCTGGACATACACGTGCAGATCACAGGGGATATGATGGCTTAACTTGCGCTCAGAGGCCTGACAATTTCACTGTACTTCATACCAAGTCATACTTGCTTTATGGCCAAGTTTATTTTAACATTTAAGTAAAACTCAATAAACAAATACTAGAAAACTCCATCTTCAAGTTCAAGTGTGTTCTTCCATGGACTGGAAAATGTTTTAAATTTTGGAATGGGACAAAATAGGGAAAGCGAAGACCCAATTTCCAAAAATGTTTTATTTGGGGAAAACTTTAAATAAATCCTTATCAGAAGCCTACACATATGTAAAATATGAAAATGGATAATTAATCACAATAAGACATTTTTCCCAAAGAGATTTCACTGAGTTTTTGTTGTTGTTGTTGTTGTTAGCTATAGTGTGGAAGTATGTAGATTTTACATTTAGAAGCTACAGTTATACTATATTTATGAATTTCCAAATTTGCATTTTTTCCTACCGTCATCTCTGCCAAATTAATAGTTAATATGCCTCATACAGGCTTAGCAAAAGTAATTATAACTGTTTTTTGAAACATATTTTTTTAATGACCCAAAGGCGCATCATTCTAACTATCCTTTTTTTTCCTTTCTGGCAGATGACATTTGATCCAGAAATCTTCTTCAACGTTTTACTGCCACCAATTATATTTCATGCAGGATATAGTCTAAAGAAGGTAAATATATAGTGATCGTTTTCTTCTTTTATCATTAAGTAGAGAATTTTTCCAGCACTAATGAGAAACTGTTATTTTTATGGGCTTCTCTTTTTGCTCAGAGTATCATTATCTTAGATTTGTGATGCAGATTCAAACCTGACATGCTTAGAATTCTAGACTTCTTCTAAACCTACTCTGTTGAATATAGGCCATTAGCCACATGTAACTATTTAGCTCTTGAAATGCAACTCATCTGAATCGAGATGTTCTTTAAGTGTAAAATACACACTGGATTTTAAAGACTTTGTATTTATTAAAAGAATGTAGATATTTCCATAATGTTTTATATTGATTTCATGTAGAAATGTTAGTATTTTGGATAGATTGGATTAAACAAAACATTATCAAAACATATTTCATCTTTTAAAAACATTTTAATGTAGCTACTAGAAAATTTAAAAATTTTTATATATGTGGCTTGCATTATATTTCTATTGGACAGCATTATTGTGGATGATTGTAACCAAAGACTTTGGTTATTAAATTAACATTGGGTTTATCCTTTCAAGTGAAAACTCAAGAATACTGTTGATGCTCATAGAGAGGAAAGTCCAGTTTTGCAGTTTCTATGCACTTGTCTAACAATACTTGGACACAGCCTGACTATGCACATTTTGTACATTAGTAATTCTCATAATAGTTTAAGTACTGGCATCCCCTGAGCCACAGAGCGAGGCCCCAGCCTACATGGTTTTTGAGAGGCAGAGGTGATGTGACTGCTCTTCTGCTGCTCAGTTCCCACTCTAGGAGATTCCTGGGGCTTTCCTCCCCTTGACCAGTCATTTTCAGCAACCAGGCAGCTTGTTCACTACAGACCTGATTTTCTTGTGTGTACTCCAGGCTCCCTCTTGCTCTCAGTCTGGCTCCTCAGATCCCACTCAAAAACTTGGAATGGAGTTTTCCCTAAGCAAGCAGTTGAAAAAATGTAGAAGGCTGGATTTGTTCAGGTCACCCTTCCTCATTGCCAGTCCCAATACTAAGCATCATTTTGTGGCTCACTCGTTAAAAATAAAGTGAATTGCTGTAAGTTGGGGGATTTGTTTTGTTTTGTTTTGTTTTGGAGACACGGTCTCCCTCTTTTGCCCAGGCACAATTATGGCTCAAAGCAGCTTCGACCTTCTGTACTCAAATGATCTTCCTTCCTTCAGCCTCCCAAATTGCTGTAATTACAGGCATGAGCAGGCTGTTGTAGATTTTTAAAGTTTATTTTCATCACATTTAGAAGACATAAGAGAAGTCAGAGATCCAGTAAAATCAAAAGGCAACTTAAAACTCTTAGAATAGTTTTGTTTGTTTGTTTGTTTTAATGCTAAAGGAGTTGCATTCACAAGGAAACTTCATGAAAACTGTGTCTTCCATTATTGCCCCGATTCTGGCATAGACATTGCCCAGTTCCTTCCTTCCCTGTCAGGTCCAGCCAGTTCTGGGAATTGCCTCTCTCATCCCTACCTACTCATCTTCCAGTGGGTTTTTTTTTTGTTTTGTTTTGTTTTTTTCTGTTTCTTGCCCTTTCCCCCAAGTCCTTTGCAGTGAAAATCAGTTAAGTCCCTATTAGCACAATAAGGCCAGGAATGAGGCTCCAAAACCAAAATTTGCCTAAACAGTGAGGGATCTGTGAACTGCATACATTTATTTTTATTTTCTATTGTACTAAGAAAAAATTCTGATGTACTCTATTAAGTGTTTTTTTTTTTTTTTCCTCCCCAGAGACACTTTTTTCAAAACTTAGGATCTATTTTAACATATGCCTTCTTGGGAACTGCCATCTCCTGCATCGTCATAGGGTAAGTGACATTCGGAGCTCAAGTTGCAGGTGGCTATGGGGTCTGTGATCTGTGTGAGGGATCTAACACTTCTGGGATTCTTGCTGGCTGGGAAAATTGTCTTTTTTTTCTTAGTATGTCACATATTTGTACATTTTTTTCCTGGATTAATTCTGAGGCTTCTGACAAACACAAGACTTCAAAGCAAACTAGAGGATTGCTGGATTTTCTCTGTGAATTCTGGACTTCTGATTTAGGGAATGTGGATCACTTGCCTTAAGTTGTGTGAAGTGCATTGCATTCTTCTTTTAGTTTGAATAATGCTGATATGTTCACTGCATTCTTTTTTGTTTTCTATTGAGGGACCTTACCTGTATTTGGCAGGATTGCACTAACTATATGCCAAGGGTTTTCTTTCTAAAAGAAAGTTTACAAGACAGCAGTCTGAAACAGATGTGTGCAAATACCAACAGAGTTGCTTAATACTGGGATAGCTTTTCAGTTAACACCCTGTAGAACGCAGACTCTTTTTCATTATATTTTCTTGATTATGCTACTGAGCCCTAAGTCACACTTTATACACTCTGGCTTGCAGCTCATCATAAAGCAAAATGTGGTCCCAAATGGTGAAGGCAATCCAGCCTCTGATAATCCCATCCAATACATTAAAGCTCCACTGCAGAAAAAAAAATATATCCAGATACTATGACTGTGATGATGCAGATGTCTTCAATTTTCTGATACAGTCAACTCTACCTTGATTTTTACTGTCTACAGCTGTTACAACCCAACACAAGAAACTGATGCTAAAAATACACACGGTTCATGCCTCCACCCTTCTCTTATGGAGTTTCTAGTGTGTGTCAGTTGAAGACCAACGGGTGTCAGGCGGTGTCTTTACTTGTGCCTGCAAGCAGAGGGATTTTGTGTTGAATGCACTGCTAAATTTCTGTTGAGTGGAGACTAGAACAAGTCAGGCTATGTTATATAAATATGTTCACAATGGTTTAAGACAGTGAGAAAATTAAAGATTTTAGTGCCCGAAAAGGGAGGTTTGCAAGTGTATAGATTAGGGAGCCCCATTAAGTCTGGACACAAGTGGTCTTTAAACTGTGAGTGACCTGAGAGACACAGGGTACTTGACCCTTCTTAAAGCATGTTCTAGGAGGGCTTTTTTGTTCTGTGAGTATGCAATAGCTAAATATTCACATTTCTAAACTTTGCAGGGGCCTAAGAGATCTATGTAACTACAGCCTCTCATTCTGAAGATGAGACATCTTCAATAGTTAAATAATTGGCTCACTCTTTCTGAGAATCAGGGCACTGGTCAAGACAGAACTCAGAACTTCTGCGTCTGATCCAGCAGGTCTTCACTCTCTCTTCCTTTAGCAATTTCTCTTGAATTCCTATACATCCCTAAGCATTGTTTCTACACATTGAGAGAGGGTTCTGAGACATGTGAACTCACAACAAATGTTCATTGGTTAATAGTAAAGATATATTGCTGAGAATGATGGTTTCCAGCTGCATCATTCTCAGCAAACTATCGCAAGAACAGAAAACCAAACACCGCATGTTCTCACTCATAGGTGGGAACTGAACAATGAGATCACTTGGACTCGGGAAGGGGAACATCACACACCGGGGCCTATAATGGGGAGGGGGGAGGGGAGAGGGATTGCATTGGGAGTTATACCTGATGTAAATGACGAGTTGATGGGTGCTGACGAGTTGATGGGTGCAGCACAGCAACATGGCACAAGTATACATATGTAACAAACCTGCACGTTATGCACATGTACCCTAGAACTTAAAGTATAATAATAAAAAATAATTTAAAAAAAAAGAAAAAAAGGCCGGGCGCGGTGGCTCAAGCCTGTAATCCCAGCACTTTGGGAGGCCGTGATGGGCGGATCACGAGGTCAGGAGATCGAGACCATCCTGGCTAACACCGTGAAACCCCGTCTCTACTAAAATACAAAAAACTAGCCGGGCGAGGTGGCGGGCGCCTGTAGTCCCAGCTACTCCGGAGGCTGAGGCAGGAGAATGGCGTAAACCCGGGAGGCGGAGCTTGCAGTGAGCTGAGATCCGGCCACTGCACTCCAGCCCGGGCTACAGAGCAAGACTCCGTCTCAAAAAAAAAAAAAAAAAAAAAAAAAAAAAAAAAAAACTTTATAATGTATCCAAATTCTAAACTCTTGGACAATGCTACCAAATTGTAGAATAGTAAGTTTTTATTGTTACTTCATTTCTTTGGTACAACTGGTTTTAAGTATATTTAAGTGCATTTATTTATATTATATGCTTTCACTATCATGAAAAATCTAAATTCTTTCTTAGATCTTTCGATATCCTTCTTTTTAAGAAAGCACCAATATATACTGTGTGTGTGTGTGTGCGCGCGTGTGTGTGTGTGGTATATAACTGCCTTTATCTAAAACATTTCAATTTAAGAGATCAAGTGATTTTCATTTACTGGGGTTGAGAACCTATTTTGATTTATTTTAAGACAAGATTTTAAATTGTTGGTTGTCCAACAACTTATAATGGAAAGTCATTTGAATAAAAGAGTAGTCCTAAGAAAAATTTTAGAACGGTGTTCTTAGTTTGAACTGGGTATAATCTGAGCAACAAAAATTTGTAGTTACTTTCTTATTGTGGGTCATTAAAGTACAGAAGGGAAAGATAGCTTAAATATTTTAGAACCTCATCTAGTGAAGTAAGGGAAATCATTGAAATGTTTTAGCTTGAAGATGAAAAGTCAGATTCCTACTTTAGGAAGGTCATTTTGGTAGCTGTGTGAATGAGAAATTTTAAAGTGGGTACCATTTAAGAGGTAATTTACATGGGCCAGGTTGGAAATGATAAGGGCCTGGACTCAGTTAGTGGCAGAAAAGGTAAAGGTGGAGTCATTAGCTTGGCAAAATCTTGGGAGAATATGGCATCACCCAGGGCAAGTACGTGAAGCGAGAAGGAAAGAGATCTAGGGAACACCAGCATTTTGAAGAAAGAGAAGAGACACTCACAAGGCACCGAGGAGTATTGGACTCGAAAGAAAACCAACACAGCATGTGTTCTGGAAGTCAAAGGAAGAGGAAAGGGAGGGTCCACAGAACCTAACACAGGAGAGGTCAAATGGGATAGGAATTGTGGTACCACTGGATTTGACCCCTAGGAGGTAATGGGTGACTTTAACTTGTCTTATGGGCAAAAATGAGGGAAGAGTATTGGCAAGTCCAGTTGTTTTGGGATCCATATAATCAGAAACAAGAATTTACTTTTATGCTGCCAGTCTTGATATATAATTTCAGAACTTCTGAAGAAAAGGGCACATGCTTAAATTCAGATCAAACTGACACTTTCATAACTTGGTAACTTCCATTATATGAGATGCAATCAAACTGTAGAAAATGACTGGCTATATTTTCCTTACAAATAAATGGTGATAAGAACAACAACAGTTTATGGAGTGCTTGATACGAATCATGCCCTTTTAAAAAGTACTTTATATGGATTACCCATTTAATCCTCAAAATAATCCTATTAAGTAAGTAGATACTATTTATTAACCTCATTTAACAGATGAAACAGCTGAGGTTAAAAAGAGTAACACAGTGGTAAATATAGAGCTGGGATTAGTAACTAAATCGTTTGGCTCCAGAGTCAAATTCTTAATGCTAAACCTGCTTTACTTCTGTTTGTTGAATATTAGCACCAAAAAATGAAATTGTATAAATCAATCAATATTCATTCATCAACATACCACATTTCTTCATTATCCCAGTAGGAGTTCTCATAGACATGGGAGATTTTTATTTGGGAAGTCCATCCAAAAAGAATTCACATTTTTAAGGGATGGCCTGAGTTTATGCAGATATACTCAGACTTGCATGAAATGGGCAGGGGGAGGGATTCAGAAGTTAGATCAAACTCTTTAAGAATGATTTCATAGAGGAAGTGGATCCCGGGCAGACATTTCATGGAGAAGGATAAAGAAGTCAGATTTTCCATGCCATTAAGTGCATTAGTTCTGGTGGGTGCCGGGAACACTGTGCAAGGTTCCAGGATGGAGAGTAGGTTTCGTATAGCAGCGCCAGAGATTGTGGGAATGAAAATGCTAGAGTCAGCTGACAAAAGGCCATGAAGTCCAGCATCCAAAATGTATGAGAATGTGAAGGCCATGGAGAGAGACTGTGGAACATAAATAAAACTCAACTAGTGGGCTGTGATCTTCTGTAGCTAAGCAATATTGGTTTTAGCTGGACTCAGATACTTTACAGGAATGGAGATCATTGGGTTTATTTGCATGAACGAGGTCTTTAAGTTTTATTAATTTCATGTCATTTCAGAAATTAGATGTAAACCATTTTTCATATTGCATGGGAAAGTTTAACAATATTCTTTCTGGCAAAAAGTCGAATAAACCTTTTTTAATTTCAATGATGGATTGCTCTGAAAGAATTCACCTACCTTTTCTAGTACCCTCTCCCACTTTATCACTTGAGAAGTAGTATCTTACATCCATCTCCTTCTAAAAAGAAAGTCCATGTGTTTGAAATACATTTGTATTCATGTCTTCTATCTTGGGGGACTAGTATTTGATCTTTGACTCTATGTCTCCACCATATACACCATGTCAATATATCACAATGACAACCTAGCTGAAGCTCACTGTCAGCACATACATTTGTTCTAAGAACTCATTAGTATCTATGAAGTGCTTCTTTTTAAGAGCAACAAAATTTATATTCTCTTAGTTTCTCTGTTAATGAGGAATTAATACAAATTCCACAGTTTCAAAACTATTTGAAGAAAGGGACATTAAATGATCAGGAATGGAAAATTAATTTTAAGAATACCTCATTTAAAAAATTTCTTTCCATGTGCCAGACAGTGACTTATGCTTTTTACATGTATTATCTCATTTTATCTCATACTACCCCTATGAGGTAAATACTGTTATTATCATCATTTTACATATGAAGATGCTGCAGTTGAGACTTGTCCAAGATTATACAGTAAGTGGTAGTAAATTCAGAGCCAGTCTGACTCTAGAACACATGCTCTTAGAATCTCCTTGTCCTTCTCCTCCTTCTAAAATGACATTTCATGTGTCCTGCAGTATTTCATGAAATGGGCAGTATATGTCAGTAATTATATCTGTCTGACAAACCAAGACCTCAATAATTTCAGATTCTTACCTTTATCATTATGGCTAGAAATTATGAAAAATCTAAATATTTCAGAATTGTCTGTGAATATAATTGCAAACAGGAAATCAAACCTGTCTTTTCTTACTGAAGGTGGTTGGAGGGATGGTATGAATCTATTTACTTGCTTAATGTATTAGTCCATTCTCATGCTCTGGTGAAGAAATACCTGAGACTGGGTAATTTGTAAAGAAAAGAGGTTTAATTGACTCACAGTTCCACATGGCTGGGGAGGCCTCAGGAAACTTACAACCATGGCAGAAAGCACCTCTTCACAGCGGGGCAAGAAAGAGAATGAGAGAAAAGCAGGGAAGAGCACCTTATAAAACCATTAGATCTCATGAGAACTCACTCACTATCATGAGAATAGCATAGGGTACCACCCCCATGATCTAATCACCTCCCACAAGGTCCCTCTCCCAACATATGGGGATTATAATTCAGATTACTATTCAACATGAGATTTTGAGTA